ATGATAAACACAACAAAAAAAATCTTGTAGAAATCTAGTTTAAAATGTGCCATGTTTTTAGAAAGTACTCTTTGTGTTCATGTTTGTTTTGTGTGGTTTTGAAATTCTTTTAAATACCGTTTTCAAGAAAAAGTTTAAATTGAATTGCTTTCAAACAGGAAAAAGTAAAAATATATTTTCCTTACACAATAATAACTCTAAATATTTTTTAAAGTAGTATCTTGAATTAATAATTCATAAATATCATTACATTTCTGGGGATGCACCACATGACATTTCACAACTTAACATTGTATGACATAAACCAACATGTCATAAAAAGTCATAAGCTTTCCTGATTTCTTCTGCATGTTGGTTGCACCATGACTTTAATTTGGCAGGCAAAGTTTTTAAAATATTAACAAGCAGTTTTGCACATTTTTAAAAATTATTATAATTTCTAAGAAATATTTTTATTTAAAAAAACATTAATTTTAATACAAAGTAAAACACACTCATAGAAGTGTATTCAGTCAATGTATAAATGTATGTACATTTTTAGTATATTTTTCTATTGTATATTTTTCTATGCTCATTCTGGAAGTGCATCCAGTCAATGTATGAATTTCATGAACATTTTTAGTGTATCTTTTAATAAGAAAAAAATCATCATCATGTCATTGACCCATTGTCAGACTCTGTTCCATGTTTTGTGTGTGTCCTGCTCCCCATGTGCCTTCCCATGCCCTTATTTGGTTAGTTTCCTGTTCCTGTCCTGATTAGTTTATTTCATTTGTCCCAGGTGTTTCCCTTGGTTTTATTGCTCCCAGGTGTGTCTCGTCATCCCCTCCTCCTGTGTGTGTGTATAAAATGTGTTCCCAGTCCCAAGTTCTCTGTCCGCTGTTGAACGTCTTCGTGAACGTCTTCGTGTACGTCTTCCTGTGTTCGTCTCCCTTGGTTCCTTGGTGCAAATAAAGTCCTGTCTACATATTCTCCAGCGTCTCCTCGTCCCTCGTTTGTGTGCAACGTGACACCCATGCCTCTCTGTTGATTTAATTACAGTTACACTGAAGCTGCATGAACTCCACAAGTTCGTGCAAAACTTGATCCATGTTGTTAATCTAAAAGGAAACAAGCCAATGGGAGAGTCACTTACAGGTACTTCCTGTATTAAAGTCCAGTTTGTCTTAAAAGCACAACTCTTTAGTAGTTATCTCTTCCATTTCATCCTCAAATGCTCTTGCACGCACACACACACACACACACAGACTTAAACTACAACTTGAATTTAGATCGGACACACTGATCCCTTGTTTTCAGCTACAGGATTGAGCTTAAACAATTAAAAAGACACACATTGTTACTCTTTCTTTGAAGTGAACAATAGACAAACACAGAGTATTAGGGTAGGGGTGGGATCGTGAAGTTTGACACAATGGCTCTTTGCTGTGTATACAGTCTCATGCTTGAACAATGCTCTATTGTCCAGGTCAGCACTACTGTAATTTATGTGAAGATACTTTCCCCCTTTCTGTCTCCTCCTCTTTTTCCCACCCTCTCTCTGGCCTTTGTTGTCTCACTCTTTCTTTCAAGGAGACTCTCTCCTCTTCTTCTACTCTCTCCCTTTCGACCATTGTCCTTCATCCTCGAAGACCCCGGTGTCTGCAGACCCTCCGTCCGCCGCTCCACGCTTTAGTTTTTAAATTTTTTTCAGTTTATTTTGTTTTCCTACAGTATTATCGATTCTCTTTCTATTCTTGGCTTCATCATGCTATTCCTAGGATTTTATTACGACTCTTTCAGATTGTGGCACATTGATCGAATATGGTAAACTTCCAAAGTTTCAAAAAGCAAAATCTAATTGTTCTTACAACATGTTAGATAAATTAAAAATAAATTTAGCATTAAAATACTAAAAGCAGCTAGTTTTAAGCATAAAATATCTATATCCCAATAGAGTGATTTTGGTCTTTTTGGGAAAACTACAACTATACAACATCATCATTTTGGCCTAATATGTTCAATTTATATTCAATTACCTATCATAATAAGAACTATTTTTTAATTAACTGCAAACTGTTTAAATAACTGTTTTTAATGACAAAAACCCTAATTATTTAGCCCTAATATTCATATTTTGTGCACAACCATGTTACTACATTACAAAGGGCATAACACTGCTTACAACTGCAACAGTGTAGCAACATTTGCAAATCTCATCTCAACAGCCCATATATTTTGTTTGACCTCCTGAGGTTAATGTCAACATTTTCTAAAGGTTAAAGGCACAATATGTAATTTTCGCCGCTAGAGGTCACGTATTCAAAATAAACAAATAGACAAAGGCATAGTTTGATGACGCCGTGACTGAGTGTGGAATCATGGGAGTTGTCGTCTTCATCCCCACAGCCGGGACTCAGGCAGAAATCATGTTCATGGATGAGCTAATGATTTATTAACGTAGTAGAATGAAGCAGGGTGAGGCTGAAAGCTGTCGAAGCGAAACGAGGCCGCTGAACGAGCGTGACACACGGCTCGAAAGCAGCAGAGCTTTTATTAT